CACAACTACAGAGCCTGCACTCTAGAGCCCAGGCTCTGCAACAAGAGAAGCCGCCACCGCAATGAGAAGCCCGCCCACCGCAACGAAGAGTAGTCCCGGCTTGCCGCAACTAGAGAAAGCCCGCGCGCAGCGACGAACCAACGCAGCCATAAATAAATAGATAGATAGGTAAATAGTTTAAAAAACGCCAAACATGTACACTTGCAAATCTGAACTTCTAGGGAAGAATGCAGGATTAATACCAAACTTCAATTAATAAAATACAGTCTTGAATAGGGACATACCTCCACCTAAATTGCCTTTCTACATACCTAATCATATTATAAAGCCATCTATGGCCTCACTGGTATACCTCACTGAATAATGCTTCAAGCTTTTGTACATGCTTTAGAGTTTATATGCCTTTCACACCCTTTATCTCATTTGAGATTTATATTTAAAAGGATCTAATATATAATCCTTGGCTAAGGGGAAAATGGTCCATAACCTGATTTTCATATCCTGAGACCAGCTGGGGCCCTCAGAATGCTCTGTCCTTCCAAAGGACCAACTGGGCCAGAGGAGAGACTGCGTCTTTGGGGAGAGTTGAGAAAGCATGCATTCCCTCAGATCCAGGGAGAGGCTGAGTTGGAATTTTACCACACATAAAGAAAACGGTAGATTTCAGCCATTCACCCTAGACTGGACAATTACGTGAAATGCAGTAGCTTTTTTTCCCCCCCTTCAATTAAGGAGTCAAAATGATGTTTGTCCTTTTAAAACTGTATGAAAAACCTATTATTTATACACTTTCATTTCTTACCTTTGCAAATGTTCTATTCAGGTTAAGAATTTCAAAAGCCAGATGACTGTAAGCTTTTGCAGTCAAATTGGCTCAAGTTTAGGATAACAGCTACAAAAAATATCAAGTGTAGTTTATTAAATTTGGGATTTTCAGTTCACTGACAGACCAGTCTTGTGTTGATTGTTATGGAGAAATTGTTACAAAGATATTGCTGAAGCCGTTCACAAAATTAATTTTAATTTTGTGCTCAAATTGGAGATTTCCAATCTATAATCATCTCTTTTTTTTTAACATCTTTATTGGGGTATAATTGCTTTACAATGGTGTGTTAGTTTCTGCTTTATAACAAAGTGAATCAGTTATACATATACATATGTTCCCATATCTCTATAATAATCTTTTTATAAGCATTCACATAAGCAAACACTTGAATAGTCTTTCTTTTTTGTTGTATTTAGGTCTCCTTTAAGTAGCTAAAGTAGAAACCATCTTAACCTCGCACTCCTGGCAGGACTATGTTTAGGACATTTTTAACCCCAATAAGTAGTGCTATTAAAAAAGAGAAAATAGTCTGCAATCCTTCCTACCTCAAAGAATTCAGCAATTCACCATTTGATAGTATTCTTCCTCTCTAAGCAAAATGTTCCCTTCCTAAATCCCAGGATGGAAAGTGAATAAGAGATGAAATGGTATAAAGTAATGAAATGATGTCAACTGCATTTAAAAGTGTTGAAAATATGTGGGAAGAGATTAAAAGAATATAGGTGACAACAAGCAAGTTGTATTACAGGAGCAAAGGCTTTACTGATGGTATGCACGCAAGTAGGACCTTAATAGAGGTTCCACGTTAAGGAGTTTTGAAGTCATCTCTTGACCTACATTAATGCATTCATCCATAAAAGAAAAACTGAGGGGGTATTATTTTTCAGATGAGGAAGGGAAGCACAAAAAGATTAAGTGATTTATGTCAGATCACACACCTAGGAAACAGCAGAGCCAAGATTTGAACCCAGGAACCATGCCCATACTCTTCCCATAACTATATGCAGGATGGTTTTTTAGGGGACAGGATTGGAGGAAATAGGAAAGACCTGTTTGGAATCTTGCTGCAGTAGACCAGGCAAGAACTGACAAGGAATTGGTATAGTGCTTAAATTTAAGACTTTTTCAATTAAATATATATATATATATATATATATATATATATATATATATATATATAAAGGTCATCAGAAATACAGGCTCTGGACTCAAGACTCCCTGGGTTAAAATAAAACATACCAGCTCTCTGATTGTAGACAAGGGACTTCTATGTGCCTGTTTCTCTACAATCTAGGAATAGCAACATTACCTACCTGATAGAACTTTTTGAGTTTTAAATGAGATCATATACATACACTCAGCCTAGTGACTAGGAGTCAGTGCTCTAAAAGTTTGCCGTTATTTTTAGAATGCTACAGATTGCAGAGACAGTAATGGATCTGTTTTATTAAGAGACACAATTAGCAGGGTTTGGGTGTTAATTGTAATGGAAAAGGAGGCAAGAGAGGCTAGAGGTTTTAAGCTTGCCAACTGCTATGAAGATGGCTTTGGAGAAAGACAGGATTTCCTTTCCTTTTGGACATTTTGAGTTTTAGGTGTTAATGCAACATCCATGCACAGGTGCCAACTAAGCAGCTGAACATGAGTATGAAGTTCAGAGAAGTGAGCTAGGGGAGTCATTAGCAAATACTGATGAGAGTGTGTTAGAACAGTGGGCCGAGGATATCATCCTGAAAAACATGGACATTTATTTTGGGTTAATATACAAAATGCAATGATATTCGAATGACATGAAAATACAGAAAGATGACAGTTTCAGCACTGTGAGAATGAAGAATGATTTCTGACATCCAGATAACAGTATGTTCCCATTGTTTAGAACGAGTACTAATTGCACATTTTTATCCCAAGCCACAGATATCAAATAAGGACTCAGACTGAGTCAAAGACAGCTGTATTTTCCAAAGGTGTGCTCAGAAAGACCATGGTAAATTTGGTGTTATCTCTAACAAACATTTTAAAAAAATACTCTTTCCTATGGTCACTCTTTTAAGAGCATAAGGCATGGACCTCAAGATTGTCCCAATTCCCAGTATAAAGAACTGTTATGTTAATGATCTCATGTCAGGGTGCCAACTGGTCAGGTTTCCTTCATTTTTCTTATGTCATTTCTCCCTAATATCTAGGATTTTATTTCAGCAAAATAATCAAAAAGCTATCATAGGGCTGCTCTATCTACCCATTTAGCATAGTATCATCAAGTAATTTTACCTGTCCAGGCACTTGTGGAACAAAGCCTTCTTTTAAAAACTAAATGGGATACTGGGATTTAACAGTTTATCGTCAGTCAAAATATCATGAAAGACATGAGCAGTCCACCAAATACAGCAATTCCAGCACAGAACACCTATGATGCACCTTGTGATCAGCAAACTTCCTATTTTTGTCCTCCACTGCCATGTAGCCTCTAATGCAGCAGTCTTTTGGCATTTCAAATATGAAAATATTAACTACTGAGGTATCATTTCAGGGTGGGAGGAAATATGTTATTTCTCTACAGAAAAGTGGTGCTGTTGACATTTTTGGCAGCACAATTTTATTTTCAGTGTGTGGACCTGTGCTCCCTCAACTGAACATATTGCATTCCTGTCACCCCACCCCACAAACACCCCCAATACCAAAAGCACCCTCCAATCATTGTGACAATCAAATGATGGCCACAAATGCCCCATAGAGCAGCAGTGCTACCCCTGGTTGAACACTATTGTTATGAAACGATGGCTCTGTTGATTACAATAATGCTACCTCTGAGTTTGGATCTCTTTATCTTAAAACCAAATACTGCAAACACAACAAATGCTTATCTAAGAAAACCAATTCCCATTATTACGGGAGTAGGATTAAGGGGCTCATAAAATCTTAGTTGGAAGGACTCTAAGAGAACAACTGTCCTAAGGAGATTGAGTGACAAGTCCATGTTTCCATGTTCAGGAAATGGCAAAGCCAGAAAATTCTAAATTATTGTCTAGTACTTCTTCCACTACACAATGCCCCCAACTCATGAAACTAACAACTAGCAACTAACTCCTGGATATACTGGAAGCTCAGCAGCTTCAATTATGTACAAAAAAAATTACTTGTTGACATAGGATGACAAAGGAACAGTCACACAGATTTGCTGGTTCTAAGGACTGATGCAATGCCTCAAGGTCTCTACTCCAGGTTTAATTCATCTTCAAATTAAAAGTTGAAACTTTATCATCCCACTAAGTTCCTCCAAGTAATAATTTTATGAATGTAAAATATATGCCAGCAAAGTTCCTATATTAGTATATCCTGAAGAAGTTAATAGCTCCTGGTGCCATTTTAAAAAAGAAAACAGGGCTTCCCTGGTGGCGCAGAGTCTGCCTGCCGATGCAGGGGACATGGGTTCATGCCCCGGTCCGGAAAGATCCCACATGCCGCGGAGCGGTTAGGCCCGTGAGCCATGGCCGCTGGGCCTGTGCGTCCAGAGCCTGTGCTCCGCAACGGGAGAGGCCACAACAGTGAGAGGGCCGCGTACCACAAAGAAAAAAAGAAAACAGCCTCAAAATTCGGCAGCTTTTACTAGATGTATTGGTGTAGTATTAAACAATACGTTGTGGGCAATTGGTACCATTAAAAAGTAGCATGAGTAGAGAAAAAAGTGTAGGATGATTTTCCATGAATATTAGAAAAACAGAATCTTCACCACAACGATAAACAAGCAAAATATCCAACAAATATATACCGACTTCTCTTGGCCTCATGATAAAATCAGGGGGAAAAAAACTTCATGTGAGATGATCCAAATATTAACACCAAATACTACAAAATATATTGCTCAGACATAATGATACAATTTCTCTACTTTTAAACAATACAAACATTTCCATGGTAATCTACATATGCACAAAAGATCAGAAAGCCCTCCATTTAAAAGAGAACATGTCAAAAGGTAGTAAGTTACCAATGTTTGGCATTTTTTTGTCTCATATTTATACCTAAATACTTGAACCTAAATGTCATTATATGGAGACCTAGAACAAAATATTAAGTGCCCCATTTATCATACCTGCTAATTGTCTTTCTAGAATGGTGAAAATGAACCAAAGATTAGTATCTGCTCATAAGCCTGGCAACTCTGACATTTTTCTTTTTTGATACACTTAGCTACTGATTTTAAGGACTAGAACCCTGGAAGGCCAGTTCCCTTATGGAAGACCTAATCACTGAATCTCATTTGCTATTTTACAAATGCACATGTGATCACAAGGTGGACCCAGGGAAGTACTTTACTAACGCACCTCCAAATGGAAAAGACAAGACAAATATATCAAGATGGCTGTGATTCTCAGCAAAGGGTAAAGCCCACTCCCAGTTTCCAGGGAGAATATCAGACCTTGGTCTTGTTTCACCTGTGTAACTGGAGGCACGAGGCAGAAAGAAGAGGGTGTTAATTCTGGTATGTCTCCCTACGCCCACCCTCACTTCACAGTGAAAAGTGGTGACTGCAAATCCAACTGGAAGAAACACCTCAAAATGTCATCATCAAAGAAACAAAACCAGCAGGATCATTTTCACACAAAGATAGTATTAAATTTCAGATGCACTACCCCCTTTCTTCCTCTTGATAGGATGGATGCAGGAGCTTTGGGAGACATGAATACCCACACCAGATGAAGGAAATAACAGAGGAGCACTCCCCTTTTGGAAAGCTTCCCTCAGATAATATCCTATGCCACTGCCTCTTAAAACTGAAGAATTCTAAGTTACTCCCATAAATGATGAATAAAATTTCTTGGCCCGTCATACAGGGGGGAGTGGAGGGGTATCCCACACATAGCCAGGTGTGCAAAATAAAGGAAACTTGGATACTATTGTTTCTGCCAATGCCAAAAAACATCTCCCAGGTCTTGGAGACAACCAGCTAATTCTACCTCATCCTAACCATGAGCTCTCTAGAATCTCTGTCCCTGACACAAAGAAGGTAAATAAACAAGAAAGTCAATTATAGATTTCACAAATATCTTGTACACCGGTCTGTAATTTTTAATTAGAATCAACTATCAAAGACACTGCACCTTTGAAGTCTTTGAGCATAACAATGTTTAACAGTGGCTTTATTAGGTGAATGCTTGAAAGTATTCAACATTAAATTCAATTTACTTCACATGTTTGCGAACACATCATTAGCAATTCTTAACTATTTCAAACCAACTAATTCGAAGTACAGAAGGTTTGTTTGCAAATAACTCTTCTGAGGTGACACGAAGACTGAAAGAAGCCTATAACTTGAGTCCTGGTCTCTAGCCAACAACTACTACATCATCACTGGTGAACTCATATGAGGGAACTTCTAGGTTGAGAGGTGCAGGCCCCTTCCTGATCCTGCCAGATGCATCATAGTGTGACCCATGGCAAGGGCAGTAATAACCACCAAAATCTCCTGCATTTGCAATGGGTACACAACCAAGATGAGTGCAAACACCTATCAAGATAACCCATTCAGGTTTCTTTACTCGTTCTAAATCATGCTGTGGGTCCCTCAACTGGGACACTTCAACTGCAGATTCCTGGTCAATTTCCTTCTTGGTTCTATGGCGCACAAACAGGGGTTTGCCTCTCCATTTGAAAGCCATGTTCTTGCCCTCTGGAATATCGGATAACTTGATTTCGATTTTCGACATGGCCAACACATCAGCAGAAGCACTCATGCTGGAAACAAACTGAGAGATGACATTCTTGGCAGCATACGCAACACCCACAGTAGTTGTTGCAGTTATCAAATAGGAGAAACCTCTTCTAGCCTCACTGCTCTCTTTTGAAGACTTTGTACTATCTAACACTTCAGCACGACGATAGTCAGAGAAGTCAGGCACTTTGATGTCCGTATGGGAATAACGAACAGAAGCAGGGACTGCAAGATAAACAGAAGGTTAAAAAACACAATTAGATAAGGACTCTGAAAGGGGTATACATCAGATAATGGACCTTTATGGATTCACGAGCAAAAATCAAATTATAAAAATGTGAAATATGGCACTCACTGGTCTCAGAAATGGTCAAGTTGGCAATGCCAGCATATAAAATACTGAAAATAAAATGAAGTCAACCACTACCTATCATATTGGTATGAAATCATTAGATAATAGGTATAATTGTGTTCCTCTTGATTGAACACTGCGATTCAGAATTCATAACAATTCAGTGTATCAAGTTAAAAAAGTTAAATAGCACTGTAAACAGCCATATTTTAAGTCCCCCAAAATTCAATCTAAGACATAAGTATCACCCATATTTTCTGGATTAGAAGAGACCCTAAAACTCATCTAGTCCACTCATTAAATTGATGTGTGATCATCTTATTAAACCAAATGTCTAACTTTATTTTCCTATCTACCTGCTCTCTGAAAGAACGGCTAAAAATTCATAAAACACTAATTATAAGATAATAAACATTCTGTAAACAGTATAACTTTAGTTGCAGAAAACTTAATTTCTATTCTAGATTTTGGGGTATAAATTCAAGTAAAACCACCAATGGGCAGAAAAGGATATCCTTATCAGGATACGGAGCTATCAAAATCAAATGAAATCTCCAAAAGAACCAATTATTTCAATTTAATATAAAAAAAAAGAGCAAATTTTTCATGTATCCGGCTCTTCAGTGAAGGGCAAAACATCTATAAGAGTAGGGGCATTATCTTTCTTTTTTTACTGCTGAGGATCTCTCAACTGGGACACTACCACTGCAGGCCATAAAAAGGCCAGATGTTTACAACAAATGAATATTAAATAAACAAATAATTACTGTTTATGCAGTATTCTGGATGCAAGCAGTTTATTTTTTGAAAAAACAGGTATGTCCTTCTGTCCCATACCATTTTTAACTGTCTGACAAAAAATTAACTTACAGTATCACTTTTAAGTATGTTTTAGGAAGTAAATCTCTTTGTAAACTCTATACTCATTTAAGGAAATCTGCTACAGGTTTCCTTTTTAGAAAAGGGACACTAAAAATTCCTTACTTTTAGAAAATGTTTCCAAAAGAAATATGCACTTTTAAAATGCATTTTCATATAAGTTGCAATTCTACTTGACCTACTAGGCTGTCTCATCCTAACATACTTCCTTGAGCAAACATTACAATAATACATTTCACATGGTTCTCAAGGTCAGTAATTTTATGGAAACCGTTAATTATTCACAGACAATGGTGAAACCTATCAAAAGCACTCTATGTACTTTTCTAACTCAGCATTTTCTGTAGGGGACCAGGACACAAGGAGTGACTACTTGAGATCCACAACTATGGCAAAGTGACATATCACATATTACCCTACTTAATCACTTTCCCTTAGCACTGTCTGGGATTACACAGGAAAGATGTGTATCATACTTAAAAGATGAAGAAACCAAAGTTCATACTTCTACGTTAAAAGCCCTATTTACAACCCTTCCACACAAGGAAATGTACAGGGACGCTAAATAGAATAGCTTTGTCACAGGGACACTAAATAGAATGGCTTTGTCACTATCATCCAGAGATTTGGTGGCAAAAGAAATCCAGTTGTCTATTCCCATTCTATCTAGTAGGTTACACTTTATACTGAGCTCCACCATCAAGAACATAAACTGCCATATTGCAAAAATCATTCTCTAAATAATCTATATAAATTGTATTAGGTGTGACTTAGTAGCAAAAATCCTAGCTAGATTTAGCTCTAAACTAAAATAAAATCAGACACTTATAGAAACATCATCTAGAAATGGAGAAAACTTAAGCCATTATAACAAAACAGGGTTTTTTGATTTGTTTTGTTTTGTTTAAGGTGAGCTCTAATGTGTCCCAACTCAGGGATCTTCTCCTGACCCAACCACCCCTTCCCACATCCTCTACTAACCATCTTTCCACAAACCATCTATACAGGAGATTTTAATATGAATTTAAGCTTCAAGTTGAAGGCATGATTGCAGAAAAGAGGTTTGCCTTATGGGTCTACTTTACCACTTCTTGGAGAAGTCAGGTAAGCCCCTGATTTTTAGAAGAAACTCTTTAGCTATTTGACAAATTCCAAGACACTTTTCACCTTTGTTACTGAAATTTTCTCCTCCCTTAGTGTTTCTCACCTCAAGGTCCAAAGAACTGGCTTGGGCAACTTCTCTAAAACCCACTGGTGCCTGCTAAAAAAAATTGCCACTTTATTCATTCACAAATACTCTGCACCAACTATATGCAAAACCTGAGATTGTGGAAGACAGAAAAATAAAGGAGATATTCTCTACACACTGAAGCTCAAGGTCAGAGGAATCACCAATAACTGCAATACAGAGTGGAAAGTGTTATGTGCTATAAAATGTAAAGGAATCAGCAAATGTAAATTTTTATTGACCTGATCCTGAGTTGAGATTGAAAGGATGGGTAAGACTTGGAAATGTGGAAAACTGAGTGGGAGGACCATTTAAAGTAAAGAGAAAAGGGTGAATGAAGGCAGAATAAAGAAGGTGGGGGCAACCTGGTGTAGGGCAAAGGTCACCAATACAACTGTCAATGAGGCCAGGCAGATAGCACAATGAATCAAGTAGACCTGATGAGGGCTGTGATGAACTGGAAAAGCACTTGTTCCGACCAAGGGTGCAGCCAATGCAGAGCACACTAGACATGGAACTAAAGTCCAGTGCTGCCAACTTTCAACATTTCCAGAGATGCCAGAAATAGTCTGTTTTTTAAAACTATGCAAGTTGGGCATACCTCAGGCACCTGGCTCACAAGCTCCCAATTCAGGATCTCCAAACAGAGCATAAAAAGAAAAACAGAAAACAAGGCACCAAAGATAAACTAGGCTCTGCTGACAGAGGGTGTAAAACACACTCCTGGTGAGAGCTTATGGCTAAATCAGTCTTTCAAATCCACGCACTATCACGTACACAACGTGTATCTTGTAGTCCGTTTTCTCATCTGTAAAATGGGAGTATCATCAATCTCTGCCGGCTGCTCTTCTTGAGAATGAAATTCATTACGGTGTGAAAACCCTTTGGCCCAGTGCCTGAAAACACTGCTGATACTCTGCAGTATAGTCTACACTATAAACGACCTTGCGGCTCATTTCTTTTTCTTCGGATCTGCGGTGGTGACACGGAAGGACACTAAAGGATGGGAGGTAGCGAGCGGGACAACTTTTCAAATATTAAAAGCAATTCCTATTTTTTGAGAATTTATAAAGTGCCCCCAGAATGTGTTAATGGCTTAACGTATACTTTTTCCATCTGAACCTTACGATATAACCTACGAAATTGGTATAATAATCCATTTCACTGGTGAGGGAACACGTTTAGGAATTTGCCCAAAGGCAAACGACCTGTAAGCAGCAAAATCTCTTGTCAGACTTCGCTAGAAGCAGTCGGGCTCCATAGTTCTTGAACTTAACCGACGAAGTAGAAAAATTAGCCTGTGATTGGGAAGCCTATACACAGCCACAGAGGCCCAGAATGTCAGAGATGGAGGTCACCTGAGACCGCCCAACGGAGCAGCGACCCCGCATAGGTAAGGACACCGAGGCCCGCGGAGGTACAGAGGCCTGCCCAAGGTCGACCCACCCAGGCAGGCAACCCCATCCACAAACAGGGCTCCGCTCCATCTTCCGGCAGACCCCCCGCCCTTCTCGGCTGCTCCCTGGGTCCAGGGCCGGAGGGAGCAAGAAAAGACGGACCCCTCAATCCCCGGTCGTTCCCCTCAGCCCGGCTCACCATTGAGGCCCACGGAAGCGACCAAAGGCCGGGCCGCGGCCTGGCCACTCAGCGACTCCCGGCACAGAAAGGACCGCTTCACATCCAGTATTGGCGACTCCGAAGTGGCGGGCACCGCGGCCTGCACCAGGGGCCGCAGCGCGCCCGCCACGCCGCGGGACGTGGCCGACAGGACGGGCGCAAAAGGGCCCGAGCGAACGGCGACCGAAAACATGGCGACGGCAGCTCCAAAAGCTAAGCCGGTCACAGGGACGACCAACCTCCCGCGGCGCAGGCGCGAAAGGCGCGAAAGGCGCGGGACCCGTGACGTCAGCGCGCAGGCAGAAGAGGAGCCCCGCCCCCACACAGGGCGGGGCGAGCCTGGAGTGCCGCAGAGTCAGAGGCGATGCGAGACCGGCAGGTAGGAGGCCGTGCGGCCACCTGTGTTAGCCCCGGGTGTCTAGAGGCCTCAATTCAGGGATCTGCCCCAAGAAAGGGGGCAATGGAGGCCCCCAGGAATGTCCCATGGATCGATTTTGCGTCCGTTGGGGGCAAAAGTCTCATTTATGGGAACCTAGGGATAAAAATAAGTTATCATAATAGTTTAAATAGGGATAATAATAATTCTTAACATGTTTGCAAATGTTTATATATATACCCAACCATATGTGTAAAATATGGTTGGGTATACATAAAAAACCCAGAGCAGAACTTAATATGTAGTAATTACTCTGTGTTTACTATAATGATTATTATCGTTATCTAACTAAAACCTTAAAAGCATTTTTAAAAGTCCAGAGACTTATGTGCAAAGCTTAATAATGATGATGATGATGGTGGCTTATGTTTATTAAGCGTTTACTATGTATAAGATTTTGTGCTTTACCTTCATTCTTTCATTTATAATCAAGATCCCTATAGCTACTATTTTACCAGTGAGGAAACAGAGGTTTAGAGGAATTATGTGCCCAGGACAGGATAACCCAGTAAGCTCTAAAGTGGGGAAATCTGTCTTCTTAGTCTGTGCTCTTACCTATTGTCACAGTTTCCCTAAGTGAGATTTCAGGGAATGCAGAGATACATCCCTAAATCAGTTTCTATCACATGGTGAGAATGTTATTCCCTTTTTACTTCTCTTTAAATTCTTCTGATTACACCAATGAGAAAGTCCCAGTTTGGTGTTAGTATATCTTTAATTCTTCTCAAGACTTACTAAATCTCTCCTTTAACAGAATAGGTCTTAAATTCAAAGCCGTTAGGTAGTTGAATCTAGAGAGGATTTAATAATAGTTTATTTTCGTGGTATACATTTTCTAACCATACTGATTTTCCAAAGACTGTAGTGAGATAAAGTTTTTTTTACATTTATTTAGTCAAAAGTGAGTTAATTTGGGCTTCCCTGGTGGCGCAGTAGTTGAGAGTCTGCCTGCCAATGCAGGGGACGCGGGCTCGTGCCCCGGTCTGGGAAGATCCCACATGCCGCGCACCTGGGCCCGTGAGCCATGGCCGCTGAGCCTGCGCATCCGGAGCCTGTGCTTCACAACTGGAGAGGCCACAACAGCGAGAGGCCCGCGTACCACAAAAAAAAAAAAAAAAAAAAAAGTGAGTTAATTTAAATATTAAGTAAATATTAATACAAGCAGTGCACAGATTTGGCAGGGTTGTGATGGTGGTGGGTGTATGAACCAATGAAGTTTCTCTGTGTGCTTGCATGGGCTCTGTGACCTAGGCAAGTTTCCTAACCCCTCTATGCCTCAGTTTCCTCACCTAAAATGGAGATGGTGATGATACCGTCTGTGAGGAATAAATGTATTAACATGTATAAAGCACCCAAGGGGCCTTGTACATACTAAGCTCCGGGTGAGGGTTTGCTGGTATTGTTTTTATCTGACATATCATCTACCTACTCTGAGAAGCCTTCATTTGATTACTGATGACTCAATGATATTCCTCTCTAGGTCCACAGCACACTGACCACTTCTGCCTGGACCCTCCTCAGGGCCTAGGTCTTGGCCTTGCTTATTGCCCCAGGGACTGTGTTGTACTCTCAAGATTGGAACTGGCCTCCTCAGGGGCCACCCTGGCTCGGCTAGCCACAGGGCGGGCACTGGGTTCACCCCAGCAACAACCCGAATGATAAAAGCAGACCCTCCCAGAGAAGCTAGTACACGCCATGCATAGTTGGAGTGCTTTACATAAAATAACACACTTAATATCACAATATCCCTCTGAGGTGTGTAAGAGTAAGTGAAGGATGAATGGTGAAAAAAGGAAAGAGCTTCATAAGGTGAGCGGAGTAGGAATTGTTATCACTAGACTCTGAGGGTTCAATCCCAGTTCTGCTATTCACAAGCTATATCCTAAGATGATTTATATATAACCTCTGTGTATGCCTCAGTTCTTCTATAAAATGAGAATAATAATAGTATCTATCCCCCAAAGGGTTATTTTAAGGATTAGATGGATTAATATATATAAAGTGAGTAGAAACTGTGCCTGGCAAGTGCTATGTAAATGTCCATAATAATAATAAAAATAACTCTTTAAATTTTTTAGATGAAGAAACTGAGATTCAGAGAAGACAAATGACTTACCCAAAGACACATCATATTTTTTTTAGTTTTATTGAGATATGATTGACATATAACATGTGTAAGTTTAAGGAGTACAACTTGTTGATTTGATACACTTATATGTTGCAACATGACTACCACCACTATAGTGAGCTAATATCTAACTCACCTCATATAATTATTACCATATCTTTTGTGGTAAGAACACTTAAGATCTACTCTCTTAGCAACTTTCAGGTATATAATATGCTATTATTAACTATATCATCATGCTGTACATTAGATCCCCAGAACTGGTTCATCCTATAACTAGAAGTCTGTACTCTTTGACCAACGTCTCCCCATTTCCATAAATCCCTAGCCCCTGGTAGCCACCACTCTACTCTGTTTCTATGAGTTCTGTTTTTTTAGATTCCACATAAAGTGAGATCATACAGTGTTTGTCTTTCTCTATCTGAATTATTTCACTGAGCATCACACCTTCAAGGTTTATCCAGGTTGTCCCAAATTGTAGGAGTTCCTTCTTTCTCATGGCTGAATAATATTCTATTGTGTATTTGTACCACATCATCTTTATCCATTCACCCATTGACAGAAACTTAGGTTGTTTCCATATCTTGACTAGTGTGAATAACGCTGGATGAACATGATACAGTTCATGATCATTCCAGTGTTATACAGAAACTCAAGATACAGTTTTCATTTCTTTTCGATATATACCCGGAAGTGGGATTGCTGGATGATATGGTAGTTCTATTTTTTATTTATTGCCAAATCTCCATACATGTTTTCCATAGTTGCTGCACAAATTTACATTCCCATCAAGAGTGAACAGGTTTCCCTTTTCTCCACATCTTCACCAACACTTACGTCTTGTCTTTTTGATGACAGCCATTTTAACTGTGACATCTCATTGTAGCATTGATATGCATTTCCCTATTAGTGATGTCAAACATGTTTTCATGTACTTGTTGACCATTTGTGTGTCTTCTTTGAAAAAAATGTCTATTCAGAACCTCTGCCCATTTTTAATTGGGTTGTTTATTTTATTACTCTTTAGTTGTATGAGTTCTTCATATATTTTGAATATTAATCCCCTATCAGATATATGATTTGCAAATGTCTTCTCCCATTCTGATGGTTGCCTTTTCATTTTGTTGATGGTGTTTTTGCTATGCAAAACCTTTTTAGTTTGACATAGTCTCACTTGTTAATTTTGCTTTTGTTGCTTTCAGTGTCATAGCTGAAAAATTGTTGCCAAGACCAACGTCAAGGAAATTTTCCCTATGTTTTCTCCTAGGACTTTTATGGGTTTTGTTTCTATGTTTAAGTCTTTAGCCCATTTTGAGTTAATTTTTGTGAGTGGTCTAAGATAGGAGTCCAATTTCATTTTACTCCCTGTGGTTATCCAGTTTTCCCAACACCATATATTGAAGACACTATCCTTTCCCTCATTTAGTATTCTCAACTCCCTTGTCAAATATTAGTTGACTGTATAGGCAAGCGTTTATTTCTTGGCTCTCAATTCTGTTTCAGTCGTCTTAAATTTCCTAAGACTTGTTTAGTGACCTTTTATATGATCTAAGCTGAAGAATGTTCCATGTGCACTTGAGAAGAATATATATTCTCCTGCTGTTGGATGGAATGTTCTATATATGTTTGTTAGGTTCTTTTGGTCTAAAGTTTTGTTCAAGTCCAACATCTCCTTGTTGTTTTTCTGTCTGTTTTTCAATCTATCCATTGTTGAAAAAGAAGTATTGAATTCCCCTACTATTATTGTACTATTGTCTATCTCTCCCTTTAGATCTGTTAGTTTTGCTTAATATATTTCATTGCTCTGATGCTGGCTGCATATATATTTATGATTGTTATATCTTCTTGATGAATTGACCCCTTTATTATTATATAATGACCTTTTTGTCTCTTGTTACCATTTTTGGCTTAAAGTCTATTTTGTTGGTACCTTCTCTCTTTAGGTTCCCATTTTCATGGAATATCTTTTTCCATCCCTTCGCTTGAGCCTATGTGTGCCTTTTAGCTGAAGTGAGCCTCTAGTGGGCAGCATATATTTGGACCTTGTTTTTGTTGTTGTTGTTGTTAATCCATCCAGCCACTCTATGTCTTTTGATTGAGGAATTCAATCCATTTACATTTTGAGTAATTATTGATAGGTAAGAACTTACTAACATCATTTTATTAATTGTTTTCTATCTGTTTCATAGTTCCCTTATTCCTTTCTTCTGTCTTGCTGCCTTCCTTTTTGAACTGATGATTTTCTGTAGTGTTATGTTTTAATTACCTTCTCTTTATCTTGTCTGAATTTGCTGTGGTTTTTGCTTTGTGGTTACCATGGGGCATGCATATATATATATATATATTTATTTATTTATTTATTATTATTTTTTATTTATTTATTTTTATTTTTTTGTGGTACGTGGGCCTCTCACCGTTGTGGCGTCTCCCGTTGCGGAGCACAGGCTCCAGACGCGCAGGCTCAGCGGCCATGGCTCACGGGCCTAGCCGCTCCGCGGCATGTGGGATCTTCCCAGACTGGGGCACGAACCCGTGTCCCCTGCATCAGCAGGAGGACTCTCAACCACTGCGCCACCAGGGAAGCCCTATTTATTTATAAAATACAGTCAATTTTATGCTTGTAACAATTTAACCTCAATCGCCTACAAAAGCTCTACCCTTTTACTCTTTCCTTTTATGTTTTTGATGCCACAATTTGCATCTTTTTATATTGTGTATCCATTAACAAATT